TCTCCTTGCCTTACGTTGAAATTCATTTATCCGGACAAACGATTGATTTTTGGTATACAAAAGTTTACACCTTCTTCTTGAAAAAAAAAAAAAAAAAAAAAAAACAAGAGTTGATTTTTCATCGAGTTACTTTTGAGTTATGAGACCACATTGAACCGCATGGAAACAAATCTCTCGCGCAATATCCATGAAATGAAGGGGAGGGGAAAAAAAAAACAGAAAAGTGCATCACTTATACCCATAACATGTAGCAATACGTACCATGCGACGGTCGCGCTTCACTCCCCGTAAACACACATACGCGCCGGAGCCAACGAGTCCATTTCCATTAATTCTCGTTTCTTATGCATTAAAATAAATGACCGCGCGTGTAACATGTATAATATATACATGCAACCTTACACACGTGTGTAGCGCGTGTATATATATATATATATATATACATATATATAGGCATATCGCACCGTTTGTACCTCCGCGACACACCGAGTCCTGCCTTTTCATCAGAATGGATTATAATCCTGTGTGCATGCGCACACGGAATGATGACCTGCCCAGTTGGATATCACACGCTAGCAACAATACCCCTTTAACGAACAAAGTGACGATCTCGGCCGAGTGAATAACCGTGTGAGGGTTTACGACTCATGGAGGATCACCCCCCCCCCTCTACACCTTTTGTGCGAAGGTAAGGAACGAGTAGGACAAAAGAAAGTTCGTCACGTACACACATCATTAATAAAAAGCTGAAAATCGTGACGCGCTTGCACGCAAATTCGCATGCCAGCCACACGCGGATGAGTTTTCGGAATGAAAGGCACCAAATGTTAACTGCTGCAAAACATGACGGCTGTCCAAAATTCACAGGCATTGTATCATTGGCTCGGTTTTTTGCCTCTTTTCTTTTTTTTTTTTTTTTTTTTTTTTTCTTCTCTCATTGGTATTCAGTGCGTCGACTCTGGTTGTCTGGCGCGCGCCGACTTTATTCCAGCAATCCTCCCGTGTACGTGTAGGCCCCGCGTGCGCCTTGCAAGATGAAGTAGATACACGTGTGCGCGTAGATGTGAGTAATGCACAAACCAAATCCCCGTGTCGTGTTTTTTTTCTTTTTCCTTTTTTTCCCCTCCCCGATGGTGCGATGCTGAAATTTATGACCGACAGTCATTACACGCGAATCCAGTCGAGCCTCTCCGCAGGGGAACACACACGTACGTGAGTGGGCACGTATATTAAACTGCCCTTGGAGCGTAGAAAAAAAAAATGTTCGGTGGGGAGATTCTCTGGCGCATAATCGAAAAACGAGCACCGGCCGTATGCGTGTAAGTAAAAGCCCTCCTCCCTATGTATATCGGGACGTGCGATGTGAGGCGCTCTTGTATGAAAAGTCCATTAGACGTCAGTATCACGCGAAGACTGCGGTCTAGTGGCGGAGTTTGCAATTTTGCGCGCGAGGGAGCATCTCGCGTATTTTTTTCCCACTCTCACCCCTATCCCACCTCTTATTCTCCCCCCCCCAAGTGCTTCTCGTAACCCGCTCCGTCCCTTGTTCTTATCTTTTTTTGCCCCTACGCTATTGGGGATCCCTTTTTTTCTTTCTTACTGTTTCATGTTTTTCAATAATGGTCAAATTGTTTTTTAATCGGTTGATCCAGAATTAATGAAAAAAAAAAAAAAAAAAAAAAAAAATCGCGTTGAAGACACTGGATTGAGTCCTTGTGCGTAAAATTTCAAAGGGTCGATTTATCCCCGGCAGCTACTACATAGTACCAAACGTGTAATTTTTTTTTTTGCGGGAGAAATATACAACCAGTCGCTGACTTAAATGATGGAGAAATATAGCGTGTGGTGGGAGATGAGTTTTTTTGCACGCATTTAACCACAAATGTTTTCCACTTACCCGAGTTTGTGATTGATCGCTTTCCTCGATATGCTAGCTCAAAAAATTGCGAATGCGTGTGTGTACACGCGTACCTGGGCAAGGGTTCAATGAAACTTTCAGTGTTTCGCGGCGCGCGAAAAGAGGCATTGGTTTTTGATCGGTTTAATTTAAAAATTTTTTCCTCCCTCCTCGTGGTACGCGAGCTGTATAGGATGTTCTAGATGACCATACAGGACAAATGAAAAATGATGTATTACCACGATTTTTACGCCAATTTCGTATAACCACCGGGTGATTCCTTGGAGAAAGGCAACGCTGGTAATCGCCGTTTCCCGCAAAAAGTTGATCGATCACATCAGTATCACTAATATTCGCGATTACATGAAAAACTCGCCAGTAAAAGACACAAGAAAAAATATGCCCAGATTGTGTACAAAATTGATCATTACGGTCGGTAGAGGATCCGCATCTCATTATATTAGCAGCTTAAGCTGATTTTTGCGTACTAAAAGCTCCACCAAATCCTCACCAAACACCATACGTATACCTTTACGTGCCTAAGGGTGACACGATTGACTGACACCAACCGCATTTCCCTGTAAAATACACCCTACACATCAGCCCGAGGGTGCTACAAGATTTTCCTGCCTCCCTCGCCCCCTTTTTTTTTTTTTTGTTTCCATCAGCAAGATCTTGAGAGAAACATCAGCTTGCACCAATAACCAATACATGTGTATAGTATACAACACCACGAGGTATGCATGGAATATTGACTTTCTTTTGGAAAATTGAATTCTCCATGGGTTACGTGCATCAAACTCAGACGAGATCCTCACGCTGCGTCTCCTCGGCGTGAAAATTTGTATGCACAGGCAGACGTGTACGCGTAGTATTGATGTGCTTTTTTTTTTTTTTCAAGATCGGTAATGCCGATTTTTTAAATCTCTCGCTAGGATGTAGCGTTCAGTACAGGCATTTACTTGCTTTTAGATCTCAAACCCTCTAAAATTTTTTCAATAACAAGAATCATAAAAACGACAAGGATACACATGTATACCGCCATATACATCGGTATTCACGGTACAGGACCAGTATTCAGCACTTCTCTGTTTTATCACAGCAGCTAAAAGAGCAGAGCGGCTCCATGTACTTGATATATTTTCGTGAATCTGCATACGGAGTACGGGCACGGAGAGTATATAAACCGAAAAATCGGCGCACAGCAAACAAACACCACCTCGTACCAACGTCGATCCGCACGATGAATAAGCGTCCAAGTATAAAACGCACCCGATATAGTAGGAAGCCGGCCACGCGTGCATCGCGCATAAAACATTTACGCGTCACGTCGCAAAATCAAACCAAGGATGAGGCAAAGGAGGAGCCAGCAAAATTGAGAGAGAGAAACGTCTCGCTTTCAATATACCAGCACCCCTTCTGTCGGTGGCAGCAGTGATCGGTCTTGGTGGCGTGTAATATCGGTAATAGCGTCACCGGGTGAAAGGAGTTGCTCTTGGGGGGTTGCGGGAAATTGCACGGTCGGGGTCGCGGCCACCGCAACAGTTCGGGGGGGGGCCAAATGGAAAGGGGGATGAGGAGTACACAGCTATCTGCGTGTATATTTATCCGAGCAGTCTCTTCTCGTCACCGACGTCGACTTTGGCATTGCCATCACCGGCTGTCGAGCACTCGACGGCGACTACGACCACGTCCAGATCTCATGCGGGGGATATACGATATCGGCTCTTTGACTCTTTGCCCGTGGGTGTATAAATATATACGTGTGCTTTTGCGGTGGAGCTTTGACGATGGCGAATCGAATCTCCGGTGTTGCTGCTTCTGCGGCGAGTGGGCCCAGAGGTATAGGCAATTTCGATGAAACTGTTCCACTTTCTCTTTCTCTCTCTCTCTCTCTCTACGCCGCGCTTCTAATGGCCATTTGAATGCCGAAAGGGTGGTTGAGCGGGTAAATATGTACATGTATACACGCGACAAATTGGCCTTTTTCGAGGAATGACAAACAACTGGGCGCCGTCACCAGTTTTTAGATGCTGTTTTAGTCTGTTCCTATGCGGAGCTGTCGATTTCACTGTATTTTTTCATTAAATGCAGCAAAAATCGAGAGCCGTTACCTTTTCCGCAGAGAGTACAAATGGACGTTTTTCGTGACCCTCGTACATACATGCGAAAGAAACATATTAACTACAACGTAACCACGCAAGCGATCTCTTGAAAACCAGATTGTAATCGCTTGGTATGTATTTCGGGCGAGAAAAGATTACTCGCGTAAAGAGAGAAAAAAAGGGATTATTTTGGATAAAAAAACCGTGAAGCTTCCTTGTGAACCAATTACTTCCTGGATAGAAAGAGCCCCTCGTTCTTCATCGCGACGAGTAAGCAAAACAGTGTATCCATAGTGTCAGAGTAACGAGTTTGTACGGACAGGCTTGGTAAGTTACAGGCACCTCCGAGACCTTGGGCAGCCCGAGACCAGCGTAAGAGGAACGCGAGAGAAAAGGGTGAGCCATCAAGGAAGCGGAGGAATGGGGTATTGCGTATCGTGTGTGCGCGCGTGCATATATATATATATATAAACCACTCTCTGGCACACGCTCCCTTTTGCACCCATCACCGACGCGCCGCGCACGGAACCGCGTCCGTCCGGCGCGCTGGTGTTGCTATACAATCCGTGTATATATATGATGGGTACACCACGATGGTCCTCCCGCTTCGTCGTACCAGCGCAGCGGCCTCAGTCACGCCGCGCCCCTCGCGATGAGCGCGCAACCCCGACGCGAGCCCTCGCGCTGCTCCTCCACCATCCATGGATCAATCGCACGCGTGATAAACTCCGGCCAAAGTTGAATTTTTTTAATTTCATTCCTTTTTTTTTTTTTTCTTTCTTTCCCACTCATTAATTGTTCTCATCCGATTTCGTACGAGTGGGCTTTTACTTTGGTTTACCGGTGAGTGACTTTTCGTTAGTGTTGGGATAAAGAAACGGGTCGCTCATGTATACATTTATACCCGTGGACTCTGGAGGGATACACGAACATAAGGAGCGATGCTCGGAGTGCCGTTTCGCGGGAAATGGAAAAACATCACCTCCGCACCCGATGGCTGTGAAATAAAGTGTTGGGCGATTTCGTCCCAAGTGCGATTGGATTCGAGCGAAACACGTGAAGCCGAGATGCGGGCGATGGAGACTTTTTTGCCCTGCGAGGGGAGACGAGGCTGAGGCAAGGAGATCGGAAGCTAACTAACAGGTAGGCCGTGCACGCGTATTATTATTCCTTTTTTTTTTTTTTTTTTTTTTTCTTGGGGGATACCGTGGTAAATTAGACGCGGGGGGCCAATCTTTGATTAAATTTATACACGCGAGACTTTGGAGTGGAAAAAAAAAAAGAAGAGGATTTCGAGGGGAAAAAGATGTATATGTCCTTCGAGTAAGTGACAAGTCGCGAAGAGGACGAATCGAGCCAAGTTCACATGGTGCCGGGTGAGGTGCTTTTGAAAAGCAGGACGATCGTTCCATGTGCGCGTGGTGGAGGAAAAAAAAGTTGCAGACCTCGCGGACGGGGATTTGTAAGGTCTCCCCCGAGCGCGTGGCAAAGTTTCTTTCGACGTCTCGTTTGGCTCAAATCGAGCGGAAAACATATAATCGTTGTCATCGCCCCCTTTCTTCGGTCCGGGGTGATTTGAAGGTCGATTACGTGACGCGATCGGACAAGCAAGTTGGGAGGGGTACGTGGCTTCATGACCGATTCCCATGGTATAAGTAAACGCTCGCGCCTCTTGCCGAGGAAAACTTTGGGAATATAGCTCGAAGGCCGTCTGCGTATAAGCTGTCTCGCGGGCGTTTGGGGGGATTATCACTTATCCGGCTACACCTTCGAGGTCAAAAAGTAATTTTAATTCGTTTTTTCTCCGCCGACAGTTGGGATTTTATATTGTAGGGTCCCCCCTCCCCATTCCCATTCTATTTGTCATGATTGTGTAACCGTTGAAATTGCACGTTTGACGTGTACCGAGCGTTACAATTACGAGTAGCTAATTATAAGCCGTGGGATGGCTGAATTGAAATTAATTGTCAATTCCTTTCCCCCCAACGGTCAGATGTAATTATATATTTATTTGATTGACCGCGATTCCACAGAGTCGCAAATTGTTTCCTCCAATTTGGGCGTAAAGTTTGCCGACAAATTACAGACGACGTCACATTATCCATCATTTCCACGCTCTCCATTAATTGAAGCAATTACGTTGTTTGATCGCGTAGGGAAGAATCTCGTAAGCACTGGATTGTTCCAAGAGTGTAAAGAGAATCAACGGGGGATGGAGTTCCACCGTGGCGGAAATAGGGTTCGATGGCTCGTCGATCAAAGACCCGATGGTCGATTTGCACGCAAAGTGAGGGTAGTTTGGGCTCGTTCTCGATAATGGACCCGGAAAATCTTACCGAGGACCACATGGGTGGGAGACAAAACGTTTCTTTGACATTTCCTGCTGCTGGAGGGTCGAGGGGGTGGATGATCGATAGGCGCCCAGTGGCGCTTGTTTCACTCGATGTTTAACCGATTGCTCAAATTACCTGTACACTCCTTGTGTTGTTTGACGACAGGTGTGATCTCGGGCGTCGAAAAAAAAAAAAAAAAAAAAAAAAAATACTTGAGATTGATGTTGCTTCCACGGGTGATTTTTTGTTTGTTTTACAGAGATCAAAGGAATGGTGTCACCTTACGGCCATATTAATCTTTCCCAAGTATATACATATTTTTCTTTTTTTTATTTCCATGCAGAATCTGTTGCTTTAGCCGAGTTGTTTTACCAAAGAGTAATTGAAGCTCCAAAGCGTTGGTTTTGGGGTTTTTTCCCCTACGGGCGTGCACACGGGGGTCCTCGCGATATTCGTTTCCTCCGACCACGCAGCTGCGGAATGAATATGCAATGCGCAATCAACTAATGCATCCATCATCATGTACCGGGTTATCGTTATGTTTTAACGTTATACGTACACCACCGCTCGCTCTCTGGACTGACGATTTCCCAATCAAGTGCGCGCGATAATTTATCACCCAAGTTGCGGATCGCTCGTCAGGGGTAAGCGTGTACAAGCGATTCCGTGAAAAAAAAAAAATCCTCCCACATGTGGGTTATGAAAACGTTTTTGCTCCCACCTATTGAATAAAACCCTGATTTTGTTGAATTGATAATCAAATAACAGACGTGACGCTAAAAGAATATTCGGATAAAAAAATTGTTTTTGGGGTTTACTCTTAAAATCTTGTATATTGTGTAAAAAAAAAAAAAAAAAAAAAATTAACGTTTATGAAAAAACTACACAAGACCGGGACCTTATTGTTTCCATTTATCCGTAGATTCGGTCATACCCATCCACGTGGATCCACATTCCATGAATTAATAATCCGATCAGCACAGCCAATGATGCTTACCGGTGGGATTATGTACAGTCACTTGTTCGCTCTGCTATACGGCCCCAATGATACCGAGCCACTCGTTATAGCTTTTTAAAAATGCAGGTAATCAAAGGGAGAGAAAAAGCACATTATTTTAGCATACGTGCAAACGCGATTCGCTATTAAAGCGTATTAAAAGAGAGCTAGAGGGAAACGAAAATCCCGAGCTTCGAGCTGATGTAATGGAGTGCTAAATCGCACGCAAGTGGATTAACTCGCGAGAAAAATTTCAACCAACGACGCTGGAGCACTTACGAGTAGGCGCGCGAGTATGTGTGTATGAAACTGAAACGGAATAAAAGAATGTCAGACTCGCGCGCGTCGAAACAAACTCAACTTTGGGCGGAAGCGAAATTTAATGCCCTTGGGTACGCGATGGCTTTCAATTTGATGGTATACGTATAAATAACGTGCTTTATTTTCTTCGCGACACGAAACGCGATAGTTGTATCGGCGCGGGGGACGAAGAAAACTGACGAGAAGTTTTGTAAGGAAAAAAAGAAGAAAAAAAAAAAAATACGCACGACTCGTTCGTTACTACGATTAATGGACCGGAGAGAAGCTTACCGGAGGAAGACTCGCGAGCGATTGGGGAAACATTTTTGTCCCTAGTTTCCGCAAACTTTTCCAACAACCGTCGTCATGCGCTGAAAAAACCCATGAAACAAAAAAGTCGCACGCGCATTCACGCCCAACAAGTTACGCGCAGTTTTGCTACAGTAATTTCAGCGCTAAACAATGGGGACGAGTGAAAAACAAAAAGAAAAAAAAAAAACGCTTCCTCATGGAGGAGCGCTCCTTATGCTTGTATATCAGGTACAACGGAGCAGCATATCCCCGCGAGCCTTGCGCAATCGAGTTCACGTAAGTTGTTCCGTCACGTTTAGCGCCGAGATTTGCGTAAACGTTTTCATTTGGGCGGTGCAAAAGTAAAAGTGCAACAAAACAAATACCCACAGCCTTGAATGACAACACCGCCGGGGTATCTGATAATTAGTTCCCCTACGCAGCTTCGTTTCGCCTAAGCGCACTGCGTATACGAGTACAGACGCGTAAAGCCATACGGGAGGGAAGGGCATGAAATATTTACGGCACGCCAACGTCGTCTATATAGTGTACGGGAGCAGCATCAGTTGCAAGCAGAATTAATGATCAGATATCCTGACTTTGGACGGAAGGGGTTGAAAAAAAAGGGGAGCGACGAGAGCCTTTCTCGTCTCCTGTCGTGTTATGTGACGTGGGTACGTCGGCAGTCGAGGTATACAGGCCGCAACGAGGTGTAACTCCGTTACAAACGGAAAAGCTAATTAGTCGTTAAAAGCTGGGCACACAGTTACACCCTCTCTGCTCCGTACAAACTCCCGCGCGCCGACATTAGCGAGCAACGAAGTTACTTTATTATAACATCAACGTATAATATCCTATCTTAAGCTCAAAACTTTTGTCGATAGCTCTCCTAAAGTCTCTCCTTCCCCCGAAGCTTCTCTCGCGCGCGGATTGATCATCGTGAGTTTCTCATTGTGGACACACCAGTCGCGCGAGTCGACGATAATTAACTCGGCCGTGCAAATTTGTTCGCTAAATTAAGATACCTCCCTCCTCCGCCATCCAGCCGTTTTTACCCTCTCCCCCGATCACTCGGTAGAGGATCTACTCTCTATCCGGAGAATAAATTCAGGTGCTCGCGCGGTGGTGAGCAAAAAAAAAAAAAATTCGAGAGCATAGCCCAGAGTCATTCACCGAGAAATATGCACGAGTCGCACGATGCATGTTACATACACGGTTATCGCGTGCAAAAGGCGGAAGGGGTTCGAGTTCATTTAAAGCTCTCCCTTGGTCTGTATATGTACATCCCATACAGTACCCGACCCGCGTGATACACAGGGCGTTTATCTTTTGGCGAGCCTGCCCTACATCCAGACACACGTATACGAGAACAACGCGTGCATGCATGCGCTTTTGCACGGCGTCGTCGCGATTTCTTGGCCAACCATAAATAACGGCCGGTTGGCTTGCTGCATCGGCGGGTTTGAGCTTGCGCCCCTCGACTGCTGCACCTGCGATGTATCTTGCTCTTTTTCCCCTTTTCTCCCTCTCTGTTTCGAGGCTCCGGAAGGATGGTTCATTATTATTATTTTTATTTTTTTTTTTTGTTTCAATTGCTTCCCGGCACTTGATATCACGGGGGTTGATCGGAGGGGATTTGCGGATTGAAGGGGTTCCTTTTCGCGGGCACCACGTGCCACGGAGCTGACGGCGAAGTTTGTTTAGAATTCCCCGAAAGTTCGGCCAAAGTCAACGAGAATCCGTGCGCCAAAAACTTTGGCATATTTCGCCCAAAGTTTGGCCCTTGCGAGTAGTGGCGCCAAGCGTACGAAATATGGAAACAAAAAAAAAAAACCCCTCGTTGTAAGTACGAGGGAGGGAACCCCGAGGGTCCGTTGACACAGAAATTTGCCGTGAAAAATAGCGAGAGCGAAAATAACTGAGCGCGAGCAGTGAAAGAAAGTGCCGGTCCTCGGGATAACGTAAATGGAAGAGAGACAAGTAGCTGGCGGGAGTATGGGCGACGAGGTGTTCCTATAAACGCCCTCGAAAAAACCCTCGCGAACCAGCTCCGCCGTGCAATTGACTCGTGTTGAAATTATCACGCGCACGTATACGGAGGGGAGAAGAGAAAACATCCGGCTTTGAGATGAAATCGCAGCCAACGCCGCGCACACGGTGGAACCTCGGACGAAGGCGTCCCGCGTCGCTAATTACTTGCTCTGAAATGGAATCATGAAAAA